GTCTCGGTTTCCAGGGAAGCCTAAAATGGTATTTGAGTACAGTTTACAGTATCCAATTACGTACTGTAGTACCTGCATGGATTCGAGGGCTCGTTGATGGTTCTTGCGGGTGTTCTCGAATTCTTCCTCCTTCTCCTGAATGCGCTTCTCAACCTCGGAACGAATCTGCTGCACTTCGATCTGGGACCGTAGTACCTAAAATATAGCAAATCTTCGGTCACATTCTTAGCATTCATAGCATTCACTTGCCTTGCTCTCCTCTGCTTCCAAGGCAGCTTCAGCCTCGTCAAGAGCATGCTGCAGCTCTTCTTTCTCCTGCTCAATTCGCTTGACGGCCTTTTGCAGGTCGTGGAAAGTGCGACTTCCTTGGGAGATCTGCTCGTTGATGTCGCGGATTTCCTGCGCGTAGCTCTTGTTCTCGCGACGGAGCGTCTCGATGTATTCGGTGAGATTCTCCATGGCGGATCGAAGTTTGAACACTTCGGTGCTGGTGTTTCGGGAATCACGGGTGGTGGCGTCAATCTCTTTCTGGATGTCGTCGACCTTGTGTTTCCAGTCGTCGACGATCTTGTCGAATGCCCTCTGTTTCTTCTCCAGCGACGCGATCACCGTCAGATGACGGTCAACGTCAGAACGAGCATCTTCTGTGTCCTGAAGAAGTCTGGACTTAGCCTTCTCCAGTGAGATGACTTTGTTCTGAGCTGCCGAGAGAGCCTCTTGCAGATCCATAACACGGGCCATTTGTTTCCTCTTAAGCTCTTCTAGCTCATCCGATCCTACCAGTCCCTCTCCCTCATAGCGCGCCTTCCATTGTGAGATCTCTGAATTGATTCGGCTAAGCTGACGCTGAGTATCATCCTTGGAATTGATCTCCTCTTCCAACATCTCCATGCATTGCTCGATTTCGTGCTCAAGGTTCTTGCAGGTGGCGTTGAGCTCATGACGCTCATGCGTCTCATCCTCGGCAGCCTTTTTCGCCTCTGTAAGCTGGCTGGAGAATCCGGCCTTGGCACGATTGACGGTATTGAGTTGAACTTCTAACTCCTCCACTTGGCGGAGCAGATCACCATTGTCATTGAGCAGACGTCCTTTAGAGGTTGTATATTCAGCGAGCTGCTTCGATTGCTCGTCCACCTTCTGCTGCAATTCAGCCACTTGCACTTCGTACTGCTTGGCAAGTCGTTCTTGTTCGACACGAGCCTTTGACTCCTGGTCAACTTGCACGTTGATGTCATCGAGCTCTTTCTGGAGCACGCCCCTTTCTTTGTCGATCTTGGCCTTAGCTTTCTGAAGGCCATCGAGCTGATTGGTCAGTTGAGCAACTTGATCGTTGTTTTTCTTTCTCAGTGAGCCCAACTGATCCTCATGAGCCAAGTTGAGCTCGTCAAGATCGCGGCGCGACTTGAGAATCTCAGCGTCCTTCTTCTTGTTCAACTCCATCTGGGCCTGCATCTGATGGTTCTGGTCGTCGAGTCGCTCACTGAGGTCATCCAACTCACGTTGCAGCTCCGATCTGGCTCGGTCTGCCTTTGCTCGGGATTGTCTTTCGTGTTCAAGTTCATCTTCGATTTCGATTAAGCGAGTCGCATTCTCCTTAGACTGGCGGGTGAGACGGTTGGCCATCGCTTGCTCGTCCTCAATTCTGACTCCGAGGGCATGGAGATCAGCCTCCTTCTTCTTCAGAGATGCATCTGCTTCCTGCTTGATTTTCGTCATCTCGTCAATCGTTTCGGTGGCGGCTTTCAGCTCACTTTCGATCTTTCGCTTGGCTTTCTCTGTTTCAGCACGAATGCGTCTCTCTCGCTCGATGGATTCCTCCATTTCATCGAGAGTCTGCTCCAGCTTCTGTCTTAGACGAGCAGCTTGAGCCTGCTTCGCTTCCTCAGCCTGCAGGTCGTCGACCAATTGGCGGTTGATCTCTTCTTGATGTTTCTTCTCTTTGTTCAGTTTGCCAATGGTTTCATCTTGAGCGTTAATCTCGTCTTGAAGGGAGTGAATTTGGTTCTCTTTAGCCGCTTTCTCCTCGATTGACTTCAGAAGATTGCCGTCGACAGCTTCGATGCTCTTCTTCATGTTCTCGACTTCCTGCTGAGCTTTACGCTTGTGTCTCTCGAGTTCAGAATTCCTGTCTTCCTGTTCAGACAATTTATCAGCGACGTCGTTGAGACCTTTCTCGAGCTCCTGCTTGGCTGCATTCAATGCAGTCAATTTTTCCTCGATCGAGGCCGAACCACCCTTTGTCATCTCGAGTTGTTCCAGGAGTCTGGATCTCTCAGCATTCAATTTGTTGTACACTTCCTCCTTGGCCTTTCGTTCCGCTTCGGCCTTGGCTGACTGAGCCTCTAGGGCCTTTTGTTCCTCCGCCATCTTGGCCATCTCTTCCGCCATTTTACCGCATTTCAACTGAGGACGAAGTTTGCCGAACAGAAGGAACCAGTCCCACGTGCGCAGAATGCACCACGAACGGATGTTACGCTGCAGGACGATGTAGGAGTTGAGCTGCCGTTTACGGTCAGTGTACTCGAGAATGGCATTGTAATGACGAATCCAGCATTGGAATCCAGTGATGATCTGGTTCAGTTTCTCGTCACGAAGGTCTTCAATATGCGCGATGACTCCTGCTTTGAAGAAAACTTTGGTATGACCGATGCGGAACTGTTCATCAGTGAGCTTCTTTTGGTTTATTAAAGCTTGAAGAATTGATCCAGCGCAAGCCTTGGGATCGTCGCTAGACTTAGACTCTTTGGCAGCCAGAATAGCATAACGTTGGACAAAGTCCGGATGAAGAGTTCTGTTGGGGAAACCCTTTCGGCAAATACGGATACCTTCCAGTACACCGTTACATGTCAGCTGATTGAGCACCAGCGCGGCATCAATGACACCAGAGGCCTTCTTCTCGTTGGGGATGATGCAACGGATGAAGTGAGGATGAGTCTTGTGCAGCATGTTCATCAACTTGTTCAGTGATTCACGATACATCATGGAGACCGTCATGAATGAGCCAGATTTGCCCTTCTTCTTTGCGCCTCCACCACCTGCTGAAAATATCCTTAAAGACTTCCGAGGCTTATGAGCAAGAAAATAGAGAGCACTCACTCTTAGCGGCAACTGCAGCTTCTTCCTGGGTAACGTAGTCTTGCCAGATTTCGACGAGAAGATCGTTGCCCTTGGATTGTTTCATGACGCTGACAACGCTGTCGTTGAGAGGATCCTTGTTCTTCTCGAGCCAGTTGGTTACGTTGTATCGCACAGTTCCGGCGTAGTGCCGCATGGCAAAGTGAGCCTCGGCCTGCTTTCCCTTTGGTGGCTTGGGCTTCTCGAAGTTCGGGTGTTTACCCAAATGTTGTTCGTTCAGCTTCTGAGCCAAGGTCATGTCAGTGGCCTTCGGTACGATACACTCCTCGTCAAGCATGGAGATGATACCCAGCGGCTGAAAACATGAGTCATTATCTTCATTAAGAGACCTAATTTATTTGCTGACTTACCTTCTCAATCAGTTCGATACAAGCTTGGAGATCGAGACCGAAGTCAATGAAGGTCCATTGGATACCTTCACGAGCGTACTCTTCCTGCTCAAGGACGAACATGTGGTGGTTGAAGAATTGCTGCAGCTTCTCGTTTACGAAGTTAATCCAAAGCTGCTCGAAGGAGTTGAACTGAAAGAGATAATCTGTTAATTAGAATGGATTTACTATCAAGAACATAACTAGTTAAAAAAGTATGAACTTACGTCGAAAATTTCGAAACCGGCGATATCGAGTACACCAATGAAGAAGTCACGGCTAATTCCTTGTTGATCAAGAGGTCAGATTACACTTCTTGACCAACCAGTGGAACACTCTAGCGTAGAGACCCTTGGCCATGGCTCCGATGGCCCAGTTGACCTGGTCGACGTTCTGTCCCTTAGAAACCCATTCCGTTCCGACTTTGACGCGAGGCGAAACGAGAGCCTTTAGGAATTGGTCGACATCTATTCCGTACATTGCAGTTGCCCTCTCAGCGTCTTCTTGTCCATCAGGCTCTGCCTGCTCCTCACGTGGACGCTGCTTAAATTTCATTGCACCCATGTGCATGTGACCGGCCATCAGGCGATAGCAGTCCATTTTTTCTTGCGCAGAGAAGTTCAGAATGTCGAAGGCTTCATCAGTAAGTTGGAATTCCTCTTCATCATTGACTCCGTCGATACTCAATTCAGCCTGCGCAACAAACCAGTACTCTTTCAGGGGTTTGTCCAAGCTCGAGCTGCTTCTTCAGTTCGGGTTTGTAGTCAGAGAAAATCTGGTAGAAAATGTGGTAGCAACGCTCTCCTGGCGCTTGACGAATTACACGAGACTTCTCGAAGAAGATAGTGCTCGATATCGCAAGAGGCAAGTCGTCCAGCTTGGAGAAGTGAATTCGGATGAACTTTCCGAAACGTGAACTGTTGTTATTACGGACAGTCTTGGCGTTACCAAACGCCTCGAGTACAGGGTTAGTCTGGACAATCTGGTCCTCGAGGGTGACCTTTCTTTTCAGCACTGACTTTAACCTCTTGTTGACTGGCACCAACAGCTGCGAAATAAGCGATTACCTAAAGCAAAACACTTCGTTGTCAAACACGACAAAAATATTTTTGAAACGTACTTTTTTGGTGTTTTCCGTCTTTCCGGCTCCAGATTCTCCTGTGATGAGCATAGACTGGTTCTCATGATCCATGCAACATGTTTCTGTAGGCCTGGTCGGAAACGGCAAACAGATGAGGGAGGCATTTCAGTTCTACGCTTGCCCATGAACATCTTGGCCACCGACTCTGTGTAGATGGGAAGTCTTTTGTAGGGGTTGATCACCACGCAGAAGAGACCGGAGTATGTCTGAAATTTGGAGAGAAATCAGTTTGAATTAAGGGTGAACGTCTACGTGCCATTTATCCCATTCAGGCGCATGGCTTATCCAACTCTTTCACACTTCATGCGATGACATCTTGGCCCTAGAACCTACGAGATCAATTTCCCTTCTTGGGTGGTATTCTGCTTCCTTCTATTCTCGTCCCCAGTGGTTTTCGATTTCTGTAGGATCATGAGGAGAGGATATGAGTGGGAGGTGCGTGGGGGATGGGTAAACTGGATGTGGAGCCAGTGTTTGCACGTCTCTCATCCGCCAAACTCTTCTCAGAACAATGGCGCAATCGACTCGATCGACCATCACTCGACACACTGTTCCCAACGATGAAAAATACATTCGACACACAAATGAGCACGACCCGAGTAGCTTTTTGTGAAGCTCTGGAGAGCGCAAGAACTGAATGGAAGGTTATCGAATTGGTACCGCTTGAACTGAGCCCGGTGTGGGAACACATGTGTGACGTTTGTTCCTAGATTACGGGGTAACAGGATAAAAGGATAAAGTCTTCGCCGTTGATCAATCCCTTTGTGGGATGCGGCACGCATTCTACTTCCATTCAGAATCGTAGTGGCTTATTGAATGCGATGTGGCCTATACAATGACTTGCGAAGGCCTCCGATGTACAAGTCAGTGTTCTTTCTGAGGCAGAGGCTATGTAGTGACAACTGGCGCGCTTACCACTCGCGCGGTCCGGGTTCAAATCCCGGGTCGACTCCCGCCCAGGCCAACCAAGCCTTCTACCCTCTGGGACGGTCGGTAAATTGGTACCAGATCGTTTGGGAAGACGGGATAAGATTACAGGGAGGGAGGGGGTTGAAGAGGAAGAAGGGTTAAAAAATGACCCTCTGCTCATGCATATCGTGCGCTTCTCTCAATCCTTCTATTTTTGAAGTCCTGGAAACCGACGGGCGTTAAGTCGTCCGTCCCTCAGTTCGATTGGCAGGGTCAAAACATGGTCATGAAAAACAAGGTGTGAATAATAGAGACGTTGCCGGGGAAGCTGGAAGGTGATTTTTTCATTACCAGAGCTGCAGACTAGGATCCTGCGCGCGAGTTACTGAACCATGGAAATTGCGGAGCTGCTCCAGGCCGACGAAAGTACTGTAGGTTTTCCCGAGCTGGACACCCTTGATGGATATCCTCACCTCCTTCTTAAAGTGGTGGGGCTTGATTCTCCTCATGATTCAGGAGTACTTCACAAAGAGTTTACCATGTACCTTGTCACTCTGCGCAACACAACTTTCGCGGCGGCGTCAATGCAAAGTACTATTTTTCGCAGCCCCCCCCCCCTCCACCACCCAGCCCCTTTATTGCAGCCTGCCGGCTTTTGCGCATCGTTGCCTATAACATGTTTTGAACCGTTTTCCACATGGGACCACCATGGTAGAGATAGTACAGTAAATCAGCGAGGGTACAGGAATATTAATAGACATCGTCTTATAGTAATAGTTATGAAATCAAAACTCACGTAGATAAGCATAGCCGCATAACGAGATCTCAAGTTGTAAAGTACAGAGGCGTCATTAAGGAAAGTCAAATTGGACATGTCTTCGGTCTTCTCGAATTTTGGCGGATTCATCTCTTGTAGAGCGTCTTTCCGCACGGTTTTCTGAATATTGAAATCTTTATAGACGGGGTCCAAAAAGCGCAGGAAGGCTCAAAAAATAGAGTGATAGAGCAGGGACAAACCTCTTTGTCTCCGATTGTCACGACCACATTATCACCTTTGGTGGATTTAATTTCAGCGGCCACGTAGCCATCCTCCGGATCCGGAACCCAAACGTTCTTCTTTGAATCGTATGGCTGGGATTGATCCTGAATTGAAACTGATTATTGTAAAAGGATTACGAAGAATAGCTAAGTTTTCTGAGCCAGAAAAGGAAACGAACTGCACCTTGAGCATCTGCTCGCGGGATCTCTTGAGGTATTGCCATCCTGGGTCCTTCTCGTACTCACTCATTTCAGACATGTCGTTCGTCGGCGGCTAAGGCGACAGAAATGCTCCACTGAATGCTCAACTCGTGCGTTTTTTCCGACGCCCTCCTCCGGACGGGACAGGACCGCCCTTGCCGGCTCTTGAGATTGTGCCGTAAGTTGTGCGGATTGATGTTGGTATAAGCCGAGCGCACTGCTTGCACGCATATCCATGCAGCTCGACAGAACTGCTGCCTTGTCAATAACGGGGTTTTCTAGCGAATCACCTTTGCTCCGGGAAGAGGCCTGCTGATCGCACAGGAGTTTCCGTAGAGTTTTAGCTGTTTTTTTTCGGGCTTACCGTATCTTCTGACCAGTAGTATCCTAACCTACAGGGTGGGCCCTTACATGAGTTTCCAGGGATGTCATGAACGGCGCTGTTCGGCGATGGGAGGGCATTTTGCACTTTTACTGCTGCACTAGTTCCGGTTTTCAGGTTTCACTCTGGTAAAACCTGTGAACTCTTGTTAAGCTAGAGTAGGCTCGTCGAGCTACCATGATAAAACCTGTCAACCCTTGTGAGCTCATGAAATAGCTCTCTGGTCAGTAGCAAAGTGCAAAATGCCCCCCTCCGTCGCCGAACTGCGCCGTCATGAACTTTCATTTTGTTGTGGGCCGACTATTTTCATAAAAGATGCATTAGGTCTGGAATATCGCCCACTGGATGGTGTGAAGTAGCGGCGTGGCAACGACCCCACCCCTATTTGACCCCTTCGGTACGACTCCCTCTCACTTCCCACCTATCATCTTCATACCATTTCTTCCAGGAATTCTTTTTCCAGGGATTTTTCTTCCCTATGCTTCCCGCAAAACTGCCGTCGAAACGCGAATAGCCAACGACCGGAAATTTTTATCGCGGTTCGAAAGAATTCCTAACGAGGCCGAAGACGGCCCCATCAACCAAATGCGACCCTCCCCAGCGACCAAGTGTGACACCCCTCCTCCCTTCCCCTTTATGGGATACTCCCAACAGTGCTATACTGCGATCGTACTGCCATTCGATTACATTGTGGGCTTCGCAGCACAATGTACTGACGAATGGGACACACTGTCAGATTTCTGTTTATCTGTAAATAAAGCAAAGGTTTTTCGTAAAATCAATACTCGTGACGCTGTAACCAGTTCAAATAGATATTACTTCACGATGACATCTTCCACTTACCTTTTTGTCTATAAGAAAGGTTTTCTGCAGAAATTCGACAAAAAGTTTGTATAACCACTTTTGCTGGGATTTCGCTTGTCCAGACCGAGTTGTCCCGAGTGCCAAATGAAAGTACTTTTTCCCCAACGCCAATAAATATAGTACTTGTAAGTATTAAGTGGGTGGGAACAGAGTCAGGGATCACGTTAAGGGAAAAGGCCCCTCTCCTCCAACTAAATAAAAAAGAGAAAAAGATAACAATTCAGTCTTTAAGGAAAAGTAATGTGCAGTTGATTTCTTTCCAGCTCCATGGAGATCTGTCATGTTCTTGCGTGATCTGGTATGCGCATATTTGTGAGACAGAAAATTAAAAAC